GCCGTTCTCGTTCCAGCGTAGGATAATCAGAGCACTTTCATTGTCTCTGTGTAAGGCACTCTTGGAAGACATAGGTGAAGAGATGAAAAGAGGTTTCCAAGAAAAGAAAACAAGGGGAAGCAACAAGCGCGGAAACTTCGTATGAATCTGTTGTTTCTAACAAAAAATAATGGAAGAATTTTTCATACTGGTTGATATTACAGATATCAGGATGGCTTTACAGGGAGTCTTCTCACGGGGGAAACTTTTCCCCGGCATCATGAGTACCCTTTCTCTTTTTTTATGTACTGTTAGGTTATTTTCAATGTGTCACAAAAGCGAACGGATATTTTTTTGAAGAAATTCAGTATGCACTGCTTCTAACGATTCACCCATCATTATGCTTTTTTGAGATGATCATAGATGTGCCTATTAAGTTGTCCTTAATTGCAAAGTACGGACTCCTGCATAAGGAGGCGCGTTTGTTGGCTTTTTTGGGTCACTGTAGAGAAGCACCATCGTACCGAATAAACCACATTTTTAATATTTCTATACTAATCGAGTTAAAAAAACACGAGGTTTATGAGCGAAGCGCAAGATTTATGCAAAAAAACAGTGGCAAGTACTGAAGGCTGGAAATCACAAGCTTTTAGTGAAACGCACAGGTCCTTAATACTCTACTCGTTTCCATGCATCTGTGTGAATTCGCCGATGAGTGCCGCGGTTCCTGGAAACTCCGGGATGTCCGTATGGGTGTGTAACGGCATCAGGTAGATACACTACGGCTGAGCGAAGAAATTCAATGAGCGAGGACTTTTTGAACACAATACGTTCCATTCAAAGTCACCTTACCTAGGCGGACCCCTTTAGTGATGCATGTGCGTGAGACAGTTATGACGTTTACCTACAATTTCACCACAGCACAATCCTGAAAAAATATATGCATATAAAATAAAAATAATATATAAATAAAAGATATAGTATATAAAGTATGAAATAAATCAATAATAGATAAGAATAAAATAATTATGTAATAATATAATAAATTAACTTGAAATAAATAATGTAAGGGATATCGTATCGAAACGCCACCATGAATCAGCTGTTGTTTGTGATTACACGATTGTTCACTTTTTGTGGGTGTCTTTTTTGATGTCAGGTGTAGTGCATTGGCTTGTCACCTCGGCACAAGCTTATTTACCGAGTATGAACACTGTCACGGTTATTTGGATATAGTACGATTCTCTTTCCGCCGCCTGAATGGGCTATGATGAGGATCTGTTTATCGTACCATCTTATCTGCAGATGAGGAATACACCACTAGACTACCTCAACGTTTCATTATATATCTCTGTTGTGAGGACTTTCGAGGATTTCCCATCCTGAAATTAGTGTGCCCTAATAACTGAGTGTATATTCAGTTCGCACATCTTTCTCATCATCATCATCATCGTCGACAGCATAACATCAGTTGTTCAACACTGATGCTTCGCTGCCGTATGACCGTGATTTATTTGAAAAGAATAAAGGTTGATAGGGAAGGGACTTAGGGCCTATACCTTTACACACTCAGGCTGATAGCACTGACAGCACCCAAAATCTTCTGAGCCTCTTTCATGCCCCTCTGCCGGTTCACATGTTGGCCACGTCTCTGCTTCTACCATTCTGAATCGGGCACGGAAAACAGTACTCTCTTCGGCAAATGATGGCTTGGCATGCACAGTACATGGCCTAGCCAACGCCATTTCTGGTGCTGGACACATTTTTGAATAGAAGTCCTGATTGCACGACTGAACACGAGCTTCCTAACTGCTTGATTAAGGATTCGCCGACATCTACCGTCACGAGCTGTTCTTGCGCAGTGGGGATCACGTGGTCCTCATCCTGGAAAGCGAGTAGCACCGACAGCACCCAAACGTTTCGTAATCTCCTTTATATCCCTCTGCCAGGTACAGGAATAGCCATCTCCTTTTCGAGGACGAGAACGATGTCATCTGCATATTCTACGTCGACAAGGTTTTCGTCGGGGGCTTTTGGACACATGGGTTTTAATTACCTTCCAGCGTTCGTCTCATTATCTGACCATTCAAGAAATTAATCAAGAGAGAGACTTGTCACTCCTGACGGACACCGCTGAATGTATGGAAGCTTTTGGAGAGCTCCCCCTACATTCTCATACGTCTGGAAGTCTGAGAATACGAAGAACTATTATGTTTACAAACTTCCGAGGCATTGCTTGGTGGGCAAGCGTCTCAAGAAGAACAGACTGTTCAACCGAGTCGAATGCGCCTCGGAGGATAGCTTTCAGAAACGCTTTGACATTGCTTCTTAACATTTGGCCTGGTGTTTTCATAGACAGTGTCAGCGCATCATCCTGTAACTATAACAGCAGTTGTGTAGGACTTAAACGACGAGAGGTTCAGCTTGGTTCCAGGTGAGTCTCCCGGAAAACTAAATTGGTCTGCAAATGAGTGTAGTTCACTCACTTCGTGCGATTTGGGTTCGAGTAGAACATAAGGTTGGCGAAAACTCGGGGACTGTGCCTACCTGACGAGCTCTAAGGAGGGCGTAACCGGTCGTGGGATGTCAAAGAATTTTTAGCAGTCTAATGAGTAGTATATTACGTCTATGTAGAACACTGTTTTCCCCCAAGAGTTTTAGTTTTGAAAGACCACCACTGTTGTAGGATAGACTAACTTGCTAGTGCACGTTGCGACCGGTTTGAAGTCTTCATATTTGGAGAAAGTGAACCTCACCTTGTGCATATTGTGAATTTGAAATCTGAAAATATCGACTGCTATACACGATTAACTAAAGCTAGTAAGTTTTCCAAATGCTGGACGGACCGTTTTTTGGCCAGTCTCGTTAGTGGTCGCTGTAGATAGGTTGCTGTGTTCCTCCACCATATCCGTTTGTGGTGGATCCTTGAAATCTTCAGGTCAGCAACAGAAGTACCAGTCGCACTGTGCACCAAGCCGAATTCGTTGAATCTTTTTCATTTCGAAATGAGAAGTAAAAACCATCTAACTATGCTTTTCACCCTTTTACCTTCTGCTTAAGGTAAAACGTATTGCAGTCCTTTCGAGTCAAGAATTTGAACAGTCTGTTCGCTTAACCAATGTAGTTCGTCAACCTTACCGTTAGTAGTAATTCAGTACCTGTTAGCATAAAAACCAGTCTCTAGGTAGTCTCTCTCCGTTTGTCAACAATCAATTTTAGTACAGACTGCAGCCTTTGAGTGGATGAAACACCCTGCCTAGATTGTTCATCCACCTCCCAACCAACTGCGTGGCGCACTGAGGAGCGACTTTTCCCCTTGACAGCAGTTGAAACCGGGGACCCACCATCCTTTTTCTGAACACCTTATCCAAACATCAGACATTTGGATCTCTTGGCTGAATATTCATTTGTAGTGATCAGTACGATAGGATCTTATGCAGGTGTCCCACCGTAACACACGAATCTTTATTGTGGGTGTGTCAAACTATCGATTAGCTGGATCATTAACCCTGATCTTAAAGAAAGCCATTTCCTCCTGACAAAAGCCGTTAAAAACACCGCAGTTAATTAAGTTTCTGTGGAATGAGTGCAGAAGTCCTCGGGGCTAGCTTTTATTAGTTGGACCTCTTCGGTGTGACATTCCTGAAAGATATTCTGTCGTGGGAAAAGTACTCCATATATTGCCTGTGCTTGGGAAGAAACCGATTAGTATTCGCAGCCGATTACGTAATTTTCTCTCTAGAAGCACAGTGAAACTCATTGGTTTTGCAGACCATCATAAACGTTTACTTCCCACGTTTCTTCAGGCGTGCTCGACGAGCAGGTGACCCGAGCGGAATCGTCATCGGTTCTGGTCCACCACCCCCGATGACATCAGAAGGGGCGCATATTCAACAGGCGTCGCACGGCACCTCAGGAGGTGCTTTCGGTGACCAGCTAATGCAGAATGCAGCCACTGGTGCATTCAAAGGTGCAATCGGTACAGCTCCTTATCCGACTGGCAACTATCCTGGATTCTAATCGGGTTGTTTCTGCAATTAGTCTCCCGTTCTTATTTATGATTTACCTGGTTGTTATTTATGCTACTTAGTTTAACAAATCATGTCCCATACCCTTGGTATCATGTCCATTCTGAAGCTGCTTCGTACTCATCTGTGATCCTCGATCAAGTACACATTGCCACCTTTATGCATTTATAATCTTTCCATCTCGGCTTTGGTCTTCTGTTTTTATGTAAACTTGTTCCGTGAAAAAGGTGTTGTGATTTTGTCCCTGTTGTTTAGCTTCAGTTTTTTCATAAGAATCTCGTGACCAAGGGTTCCATATCTTATCGATTTTTTCTGTGAGTGTTTGTTGTTTTCCACATCATTTAGAGGCAGACAATTTTCACTGTTTTTTGCCAAGACTTCACACACTTCTCTCGTTTGTCTCGTACCATTCCAAATAAACAGTGTTTGTTTACTTTGTCGTGGTAAATAACTTCTGTTGATTTCTCTTCTTATATCTAGGCAATTCGCCTTCGAATTTGCGCTAGGTTGTCCCTCATTTTGTTCGAATTCATCAGTAGTTTGCACCTTCCGACAGTTTTTAGTTGGATAGACGATGAACAACGTAATGTTCAATCAGCGACTCTTCCTGGCCTATCTGGTGAATTTGATCTACAGAGTGAAACCATAGATAGAAATAATTAGGAATAAAGTTGCCACGGAATGCGTGCGATGTACAACGGCTGATATGCTTACAAATTACAGGTGTCCGCATTTATTCACCGGCTGTAAACCCGAAAACGGTCTTCCCGCATGGACTCGTCCGTGAGTCGAAATGCACCTTAAGTCATAGAAATATATGTTCACCCTTTAGTTTTAGGCGAGTACTGAAACTGGGACGCGGGTTTTAGATTTTCTACCAGAGTTGGCAACTTTTTCTATGGTTGCAATTTCGGGGTTTTGTGGGATAGGTATTTTGTTCATAGTCACGCCACTCTCGTTTGAACGGTCGTGTTCCTGTTCTGGCGTAATTATTCCGTTGAGCCCGACTCATCGAACGACGGCCCAGTAACTGTCCTGGTTGTGACGATCAGTTGACCCGCCAGTCAGGACTTCCCAGCCAGGTAGCGTGGCACACGCTTGAAACCCACTGGGCAGCTTTTTGGTTGCAATTTTGGGATGTTCATTGGCTGGAAGAAGATGCATCAGACAAATTACATTTCGTTAGCGGATACAGACTCTTACCTTTCGGGCACATGTTTGTTTAACTGTCCGATCATGTCTAATCCCATTAACCATTGGGTATCAGTTGGTGCATGGGGATGGATGACTGGTAAAAAATTCTTACCATTCACCAGTAGTCAGCTGATTCACCTCCATCTGCGCAGCGAATTCAAACTCACCAGCTGCGCACGGTCCGAATGATAAGGTATGATTCTAACGTTTTGGGGCAATGTTTTTTGTCAGATAATATTCGGCATTTAGGTGTTTCCCGTCTGTCTGCAAAGTTTTAGTGTGGTGGGATGAAACTCACAAAAGCCATATCTGAAACTTTGGGCGTTATAAGTCATGTGGCCAGCACATTTTCTGTTTCCAGGTTGCTGTGACCAGTATGCGGCCGGTTAGAAATGGCAGTCGCGTTTGGTCTAGCATTGGAGGTCATTTGTCCACAGAGGTGAAAATTCACCATACTTCTGTGATTCAGGACTGTTTTTAAGGTGAGGTTTATTTAATGTTAATCCTCTTTTATTGTTTTGTGGTTCACGTTGCAATAAAGATGGTCCTAAATATTTCCATCCTACAAACATGGAAATCGGCATGCGACCTTTTCCGCCATCCACAGGAACTTTGAGATGTCTGTCGGAATTCAGAAACGATATTTTTGAGGGAAAGTGAACAAAGCAACATTTTATTTACTTTTAGGAAAGAATTCACCAGGTCGGTAGCGTGATACCAAGTGAAAGTCACTACGATAACAAACATCATGTTTTAATAAAACTGCTCTGATATCCCGTACGCATTGATCGTTTCTTTATCTTATCGAATTCCCATTGTGACCTTTAAAGAGGGACTTGAAAAGCTGTGGAAACCTTATCACGGCGTCACTGTCCATACTGCTTTCTCACGAACAGCCACCAAGTACTCACACCATCTCTAACAGCGTCCGCTTCTTCCGTTTGTCCAATGATCGCCATTATGGGGATAATCCCTGTGTATGAGCTAAAAGGATGTAAATCACCTTCAGCAATTAGGTTCTATTCATTTCTAATCTTATTCTCAACATTTGGCAGGTGAACGGTGGTGCTGACCATTTGAACCAATCAAAATATTTCTCAAGACGATTGGTACTGATGTCGTTGAGCTGCTCCCGGCGACGTTGGTGGACTCAACGGATGTGCCAGTTTTGCTTCTGTTCACCGTACTCGGTGATAGCTATGCCACGATCAGTCAGTTTTACCTCCTGTGACCGGCGCAAGAACGCCATTCTGATCAGTGTAACCGGATGACATAGGTAGAGCCGTTCGTTCCTGCCAACTACCGCACACGAAGTCGCCTCCATCTCTCCAAGCTCATCGAATCCACTAACACTAGGATCAGTGACTTGATGTGAATTCGTACTCAACCGTTCATTGTGTCTCAGTACTCATGCCCATATAGAAGACAAACCACATGTGGCACTAACTCATCGATCAACGATTCACAAAGATCTTACAGCTGTTTATTCGGGTCTCGGTGTTCGTTAAGATTGATCAATCTTCAAGCCAAGCGTGTGAGTAGTGTTAGTTTGCAGTAATGTCGGTAAAGTCAGCATTCATCGTGGGGAGTTGGTAGCCGACCAGCGAGCCCCACGTTCTCTCTCAGGAGCCGCCCACTTCTGAGTGACGCCCGTAAGGTTTCTGTAACCGTTTGGGAATTTCGAAAGGCTCGCGTCTAGTAGAGGTTCGTTCTCAGAGGAAGAATTAGTGTTTTGTTTCGATGTCGAAGGGACAGATAGTCTTCCAGATTTTTTAGCTCATCAGATGAACTGGTACTGTTTGCATCCTCTTCTGAATTTTCTCCGTTATCACACCCACCACGTGCATAGGTTGCTCCGGATTTGTGCTGACTTGTTTGTAAGTTTTTACCGGGGCACAACACTCATCCTAAATGGTAGGGCCGATTTATGCAACATACTCCAACAACACTTGGTGATTTTCTAAAACAGTACCAGCCAACAGGTCTCATATGAATTTTCTATTAGTATCTTAGTTCAATACCTCTGCTGCTCAACAAAAATTCCCGACCAGATTACCATGAAAAATTGACGTTGGCTAGGTATCATTGGAGGCGGTGCAGAAAAACCACTATTCAGGGAGATTTACAGTTTACCTTCCTATTCGTCTGATCTTGATCATGGTGATTCGATCTCAATTATGTTACCAATGTTGACTTATGGTTATGGCCCTTGAAAGACACCCAGGATTTCAAATAACTCGGAAAACGAAAGAATTAGAATCATCCTTTGCTGTCAGTCAGACCAACCGTAGCTCTCTGATAGCCATGAGCGTAATCTGTTAAACTGTTCTGTACTATTGGCTATTCATTGATACTGTTTCACGAAAGCGATTACCAATCCTGACCATTTGGTGAGACTCTTTGGCTTCCTCAAGCGACCAAATTTTCTTGAATATCTCTGACTAATTTTCTCTTGATGGCGACAAGTTCCGACACCACTAACTGTAGTTTAAGGTCAAAAGTGGATTGTGCTCTGGTTGGCAACATGTTCTTCAGCTAGCCCTGTACATCGATTCAGTTCCGTTCGATTGTAGTGCGAGTTGGTTTGCTGGACTCATCACTCATTGTGTAAGAAAGATTATCCTCGAAGGACGAACTAAAGGTGCAAAGACAGTGCAAATTAGCCTGAACGATGGATACTCCAAACATAGACCGCTTCGTCCTCCAGAAGGGCGATTTCTGGCGCCAAATAAAGTTTTTATGACCGTCAAGAAGACCGTCTCGCAAAATTCAAAAAAGATGCCCCAGTGACAAATGATCCCCTTCACCAAGGGTCCTTCAGTTGAAACAAAGCAGTGCATTATCACACACAGACTGCATACGGTAGGAGACTTGTCCTCCTTTGAAAAAGGGACTGACTGATTGGATCGCTCGTACAAGTGCATGAATGATTTGTGCATGTTTTACCACATGAAATGATCCACCACTATTCGGATTTATGATTTGCGTCCGGACTATCAAGTTTTTTATTGTTGACCAGTCGTCAGCTGATCCGTTCACCGAACCTGTTGATGGGCTTCCAAACGCTTCTTCACCACGCGAGGAGTGCCCGATCGGATGAGTAGACACAGTATTATCAACTGCACTAATTCTACACTGAAGTTAATTGCAAATCAGCTTTTTTCCCGACTCTTGCCAATTTTCTGACTTCTAAATTATGCCGAGTTTGCCTGTTTTCTTTGTCTGTTTCTAGCACTGTGAGACGGTCGTGCTCAATAAACTTCGGGATTGTTTGTCATTGATTTGGAATAAATAAGCTGTAAAATGTCCTGAAGAGGAACGAAAAATCAATCGAAGAACTAGTCAGCAATGGGTCGAGGAATCACACCATATTTAACTAAATATCGACCAGATGCAAGTATATGCTGGCGGGACCGGACGTGTGAACGTTTGTGTGGGGGTGTGACCATCGTAATAGGCGCTTCTTACGGCTCATATGAACCCTGAAAATAATGCTTACTAGGGGACAAATTTCTACCAAAACGTCCTTTCTTATCGCCCTCCTCACTTCATTTAGACTTAAGTTGTTCAAGTATTTTGTAATCTTATCGAAATCGTTATTTTCACTGAACCTCCGGCCGTTTGCTGGGGTGTTCTGACAGAGCACTGAACGCACTATTTTTAGTGCTGCAGCGTCACGAAATGCTGTTAAGAACGTCTAACAGATCTGTTGTACTACAAATTTGTGGACAGCATATGGATGTAAACAGCGATCTGTCTGGGTCACATGTCCAATGTGCTTGGTGGTGAATGTTAGTAACACACTGGTTTGATGCAATAAAGGGAATATGACTTTCGAGGATAGGGCTAACACTCGAATGGAGCGAAAAAGTGTGATCATTAGACCTATAGGGAGTATCAGTCTATGGCTTGTTTGAACCAAACTATTAATGAGTTAATTCCTAGCTACTACCTCTGACTGATTATTAAGGAGCCGTGGTTGGAATCTGAGACCAATGAACATCACTAAATTAAGAAAATCATTTTGATTACCGACCGACTGAATGACAAACCATACCGGATACTGTCTTGAAGTTACCACTGACAAAGCTCTTAAAGTCAGAACTATTCTACATAGATGATTTATACTTTTGACCGACAGTGTAGCCTGTGTACGCAATTTGGACAAGCAATCTACCTTTTCGCGTTCAACTTAAGCTTCAGAAATACACATAAATTGTGATAAGGGTTTCACAATTTCCTTTTATAGCCAGTTGATCTGATATGCTCTTTACGGAGTGTGTGACTTTGCCTTCCGCTAGGCCGTTGATTTTTGTTATGCTGAGGCCAACCAGTCCACCATTAGTGCCACCCTTCGCAATGAAATTAGGGGAATCAGCGTAAGGAAAGCCAAATGATGTTTCTGCGAGCATGAAATTGATGTCAGCTGACGAAATACTGAGATGCTGGAACCGAGCCTAGATCTCAAGTTGGACCCGAAAACAGTAAGGCCGTTTTCGGCTTTTTGGCCTCACTCTGTAATTTTCTTTTAGGAACTGATTTCTAAATATGTCGGACCACCCCCGGACTCGACTGCTATTCTTGTGGCTAGCATAACAATGGTAGAATCCTATTTTGTATAGGATAATTACAACTACTCTGTGTTCGTTATCGACCCAGCTTTCAGGGTCACGTGATTAGACAAGCTTTCGAAACGCGTTGGGCTGCGTGTTTGACTGTTTTCTGACTCGGAGGCCAACGAAAGTGGTACGTCAAACAGAGATGGTATTGTGGCGCCCACTATGAACATTTGAGTGGATAAAATGGGCAACTGCCATGCAACAAAGGCGAAGAATCCTATCGTTACTACCGGGTCTTACCATGACCCAACCCTATTTCAGTCTTCTACCACTGAGAGGCCGACCACAACCCAACGACCACGACAACAGTCAATAAACCATAAAAAAGACGATGGACCAAATGAGCAAAATGTTAAACCTGTGAACAATGAGGGCTATTTGGAATGGAAGGCGAATAAATATATGAAATTAGAAGAGGACAAAGTGGATGTGACCAGCACAGAATCGCACCAGAATGATGGATTTGTACGTTTTGTCAAGTCGGGTGGATTGATGGGTGATCTGATTGAGTCCAATAAGCCTCCACCTGGTTGGAATGACATGCTTCGTAAAAGGTATCCGGTCTGTTGCAAGCCTGTAAAAACCAAAGACGGGAGCCTTTTGTACCAAGCCACTATTCATATCAACGACGAAGAACTTACCACAAAACGGCATTTTCTCGCCTTTTTCCAAATCAGACCACATCTGTTGGATCCGCATGAGTTTATCGACTGGTGTAAACAAAATCACATGTACAACACAGTCCTAGACTATATCGCACTGTACGCAGCTTCCCGACTTCATGGTCCCGGTAGTATGTGCCTACGCGGCTTACCCAAAGAACCGAATGCTGTGAAGGTGATGATGACCGATCGATTTGTATTACCCACCGGTGTTTTTCGCGCAGTCATTTTCTATGCTAGAACAGAACAAGCAGTGAGGAGAATGGTTAATATCTACCTAAAGCGTCTACCACCGTCGGCCGCTCGGAGTGTAAGATGCGGTTTCCCCGAGGAGTTGGTCATCGACAGTAAGCTGGCGCGAGTGGCAACACAAGATGGTTATTAAACAAATCATATTGGGTTATAGTTCTTCTCGTTTGCACACCTTTCTTTCATGCTATTGAGTTGTGGATTAATATCTGGGACACGGTAAATTGTTTTGTAAGACTATCACCTGTGTTGTTCACGTATTTTCTTTGGATACACTCGCCAGGTCAAATTTTCAGTGCTCTTCACCAGTGGGAATAACAATAGGTTCGGTGGACCCTGAGCGGGCGTATCTCTACAGACACTTTCAACCCAGATAGGGCATCTAAGTAAGTAAGCTACATCGTTTGTTTTTAGCACCGAGGGAGAGGACAGCTTCCGGTAAATGAACTTGCATCTGTTAGGAAACTACAGATGATGATGACACCGATTTCGTTTCGGTAGTGGCCTGCTCGCTTCCTTAGAGAACTGTAAGCGTGCTAAGGACTTTTGACTTGTACATTTATCTGCGTATCAATTTGGTTTTGACGATAGATTAACCTGGAACTCAACTGAATCTCTCGCTTATAATTTTCTCAAGCTAAAGACTCATCGTAAACCAACTCCGTTGCAGTTAATATTCGGCCAGGTGAGCAACTTGGAAAAATCATGAACGAGAGATTCAGCTGGGTTCCACGGGAACCTCTCGCAAGACCGAATTCGTTTGCAAATGAGTGTGACCTGGCAGTATCTTCGCCCACTTGGTTCTCCAATGCCTGCATGGCAGAACTTAAGGTTGTCATGTTTGGACGATTTTTTCCGGTGACTGGTTCTTGCATCAGCTACATCTCAAAATTCCTCCGGCTATCTAATCCTCGAGGCTGTCAAGCAAAAGAGACCGCTCGTTGAGTCTTTTGTCCAAGGTTTCAATCGGCTTACATCTACTTGGTAGGTACGACTATCCAGCCTATGAGACTACCTACTGGTTCACTATTTAAAGCGAGGGAAATCATGGGCTTTCAGTTAATAAATCCGTTAGCTTCTTTGGTTCATTGGAGCGTTGATGGGTGTCAAGGGAAAATTTAGTACAATTTGGGATTTTCTGGTATGCAGATCTTGACATTGAACGGTGCCAGTCAATGAGAAACTTGCACACACGTTGACGCCAAGAATGATTTTTTTGCTGCATCAGAAGCAAAAAAATGTATGATATTCTGCGTCAGTCCTGATCAATCCTTGCACTTCTGCTCAGCGGAGTAGTTCGTTTACACACTATTATGACTCCACCTCGATCTATATGAGCACATTACGGTCGGTCAATAAGTATTCGTCTACAATGCGCCATTTATCTTGTTCAGAAGAGGTGTTTGGAAGACTCCACGTTCAGCTTATTTCAAGTCTCCCTATCTACCGTCAAATGCTATCCGGAATAATCACTGCAGTATGAGATAAGGAACGGTCTTCTGATGAAATGTAAGTACTCACGTTACGGTACTGTCATTCATGACCAAGTTTGTCGAAATTTACACTTGACCATTATCTAGTCGGAATTTGTAAGTGGACCAGCAACGTTCGTTTCTCAGTTTACTGAAACCGATCTACTGCAAATAACTTTACTGGCCCGTCATTCATCTAACTGTGAGACAAATATGAATTCGTCGCTTAAGCCCTAGTTGTCATCCCCAAAATGAACAGTGGGGTTTCGACCCGCATTCCCGATGACATACCAAGGAGCCTGACCGGGAAGGAGCATGTATAGAGCTGTTGTTTATCCTCTGCTGTGTGTTCAAAATGTCACCGACTGGTAAACTAAGAATTACGAAGAGGAACAGTAGAGGGAATGGTGGAAGAGCTCAGCTCTACTTCGATATAGTAGCTCATGGAACAGAGGATGTCGAGAATAAAAAGTTCATCAGCTGATCCTATCGAGTAGCCATGGGTTATTGCCTGTTTGAACTGGTGACAAAACAAAGCTCGAGATGGCCGAGTGGTTAACGCTCAGACGGACTGATCTGAAGCTCCATGGTCCGAACCGAACCCGGTCGTCTCCACTGCTGCTGTCTAGGCTTGGGCGCCCTGGCATGGCAGCTAAACAATAATGCAATCCCGTTGGTATCAGTACACGACGGCCAATGCGGTTGTACGTTGGATTAGGTAACGCCAAGCCACCCAGACCTAGAGAGGGCTATTATAGTCCTCAAACATTCTTTGGTTCGAAAGACTGATCACGAGGCAACGGTAGTCGGCATGACGCTACTCGAGCAGCCCTAATTTTAGGGAATAATTTGTCATATCTCTTCTAATTTCCCAGGGACTGTACTGGCTAGACATCTGTCAGCCAAATTGATGGAAGAGCCCATATGGTTGTTGGATAGGCATTCTCCAGTACAGCTCAGTGGGTTGTTGAGGTACACAAACCGTCGTACCAAGATAAGGTTTTTGCGACGCAATAATTGTGCATAAGGAATGAAACACCATATTTGGAGGATATCGCCTTTTCCCTCGCACTCTCGTTCAGGCTAAGTTGACCGGCTCGATCAAGCCCTAACGTGTGAACGGGTTTCCAACACAAAGGCGCCAAGACCAGGCATCAACATTCACGCCGTCAAAGCTTGTATCCAATTGGTTATCTAGCTAGGGTATTGGTACAAATGAAACGGATGGAGTGCACTGCACACAAATGCTAGGCTCGTTGGAATTAAGTCACACATGGAAGACAAAGCCAGAAACGCAGCCATTTGAACTGTATGGGCATACGTTTTGGTTTCCTTGGCCTCGGGGCGAGATGGCCCAAGTGATGAGAGCGAGAATTTACTGACCGGAAGGTCCGCGGTTCGAATCCGACCTTCGCCACTCGACTTCCCCTGTCTAGGCTTGGGCAACCTGGCAGTATCCCAGCCCTCGTGCTTCCTTCGGGTGGCATGGCAGCTAGGCACCGAAAATGGTGCTACAGTTGAACGCCCTTGGCGATCCCGAAATGAATGACCGGAATCGGAATAAGACTCTTGGGATAACGCCACAAGAACTGTTACAAACAAGTTATGACAGACACGATTTGGTCAACCAAGTGCTACTTCCTGAGTACAGTTTTTGCGTCCAAATTTTACATACGAATGCTACCCCCACGGGTAAATTCCATCGCTCTTCTACGTGTTGTTTCTTAAAAATGAGTGCAAGATGCAGAGAGAACTACTTTACTATAGTCTACGAAAACCAAGAAACCTATGTCTTTTCTAATTTATTCAACAAAGTGTTCGAGGAGATAGAGTAATTTTGCATTCACCACCACCTGCAAGTCCCGAATCAAAATAGAAAAGAGAAAGGCGAAGACAACGTGATATATATGTACATGATATGCGCAACGATAGTGAACTGTGTTAGAGATATAGGCCGACGGCCGCATCTGATTGGTTCAAAATCCCCATAATTGGTATCACGTTGAGATAACAATGTCTGGGCATATAGTCCACCGGACAGAAGATAAGCGACGCACCAGAACCAGTAAGTGCGTCGTAAGAATCGTAACGAACTGGAGGTCCGTCAACCTGCAGGCATGACGGCGACCGAGTCACCAACTGCCATTCGACAGACGCTTGCTTTGGAAGGTCAGAAACAATAAGCCAAGCAATATGTGATTCACACAAACATTGGACTAGACAGTTCTCCTTCGGAAATGGAATCGTGGGCTTCTCTTCAGATGCGTGTGAATCATACCACAGGTCACACACGGCATCATGGAAGGTCTGTCTCGCACACCGCAGTGCTGAAGATGAGGTTCCGTAACAAATACCAACGGCAAGATCACTCCATACTGCAGACGACATGGCCTGGAGAAAAGATGAAAGCAATAATCAAGCTAACGCGTAAAAAAAACAAAGAATAGAGGCAAACTACCGATAAATAAAGAAAAGCAACTGACAACAGAATCATGACGCTGTATAGCAAGAAGATAACCAACGATTTCGGAGTGAATGATTGTGATAGACTCTATCAGATATCCGAGTGACTCGTGTTCACCGAACCGCCCAGCTGTCGTTTCATATGTCTCCTCTGTTGACTGCAGTAGACACCCGTTATACCGGCAACCAGTATAACTATACCCTAGCCGTTCGGTAACCGCAGATTTCCACCGAATAAAACCGTTGTGAGCTCCTCCATACTTTCTTTTCCTTGCTTTCCATTACCTGCCATCGAAGCCACTGTTCCCAGGCTCCTCACATCATAAACGTCAGAGTACCTTCTGGTTGAAAATAAGACTGCAGCACTGGTGCTATGACCCAGCAAACGGGGGAAACCGGTACACGTCCATGACCGAAGCGAATAACTAGGGCACTGAACGTAGGGGAGGCATTACAAAGGCAGACAGACGTTCCTCATGTTACTTGTGTCGATGTTACTACCAACTGGGGCGAGATCGCTGTGGTTAGAGCGTGAATTTACTGACCGGAAGGTTCGTGGTTCGAACCCGACCTCTGCCTCTCGACTTCCCTTGTCAGGCTTCGGTAACCTGGCAGTATTCCAGCCCTCATGCCTCCTTCGGGTGGCATGGCAATTGGGCACCGAAAGAGCGCTACAGCTGAAAGATTTTCCGTCACGAAGAGACTAGACCTTACCGTGGTTTGGCGGTTTGTGTACCTCGACGACCCATTGAGCGATACTGAAGGGTGTCCGCGCGACATTCACAGTCTCTCATACCAGGCTCGTCAATCAGTAGATTTCTGTCGAACAGTCACCTGGCCGTCCAGGTTGGGGGTTGGAACATGTGTGGCGACGTGTTCCGTAACGATGGTAATGCACTTGCATCTCCAGCCAAACACCGCTGCCTTGCGGTTAGGCTTTTGAGCCAAAGGTTTTGGTCGAGGACACTAATCGTTCTCCTGTCTAGGTATGGGCGCCTTGGCAGTATCCCAGCCCTCGTACAACCATGACATTTGCAGCCAACAACACTCGTTTGCAGCTTCTGCACACCTGATTTAAGTCATAACCTTAAACAGTTCAAAATCTTCTTTCAAACCCCGAAAGCCTGTCTACTGAGCAGTCTTCAATGTTCGCACACTGAAGCAAGCAGGTCGACAGCGGCTCTTGCGCGTACGCTGAATTCACTCTGCATCGATGCACGTCGTCTGTCAGAAACAAGGACGCAGAACGCAAGTACTGTGATCGAACTGACTGCCCCCTCGCTCTCTTCCAGGTTCCGACTGCGCACCTCTGGTGATGTAGAGGCCGCTGCAGCTGGATATGCCTGGATGGGTATTGTGTTGAGCGAACGAGCGGAAACGTTTCTACGATACCCGTTGATAGTCGCCTCTGTGCAGTTCGTGTGGCAACATCTGTGAGAGAATCCAGAGGAAGTGAGGTTCATCGTACCTTGTGTATGTGCCTGCTTACGCCCCAACCGACTGTAGCTCTGAATCTGCCAAGGACAGTTTCTATGACGCTCTAGATGCCCTTCTACAGCAGGCTAAAAACTCAGGTATCGTTGTGGTTTCTGGTGACATGAATGCCCAGGTAGGTAGGCTAAGCGCTGCTGAGGCCCGATTGGGTGGTCGTCTTGGTTTGGACATTAGACGCACGGACAGCGGAGACCGCTTACTTCAGACGTATGCCGATCACACACTGTTCCTTTGCGGTACGAATTTCCGGAACAGCGGAAATCGCTTGACAACGTGGTGCCCACCAACAAACCAGCGCCGAATCCAAATAGACCACATCACCGACAGTTATCGGTGGCGAGGGTCGATCACCGTCTGCCGCTCTTTCTGAAACATCAGCGTGGACTCCAACCATGCACTTGTACGCTGCTGATTTTCACTGCACTTTCCAGGTGTACTCAAAGCGCGCACACCTCGCTTAGCCATTGAGAAACTATTGGACCCAGAAGTTAAACGAAATTATTAGAGCCAGCTTCTCGAACGCCTGCCGGACGGTACGATAACGGCTATAAACGGCCATTAGGAAAAGATATCCAGGGGGCTACTTAAAGCCGGACAACCGGTACAACCCAGCTAACCTCATTCAAGCATTTGATCTCTGATAGGACCGTGTCTTTGCTGGAGACCCGGCGACAGATTCCACCTGGTCGCCACCACAACTCCACCCCGCGCATCATCCGACGCCAGGTGAAACTGAGCGTCCGCGCAGACCGAGAGGCTTTGTGGACCCGAAAGGTCGAAGAAATTGAAGACGCAAAGAATGCTGGAAACGTGAGCAAACTGTTCCACTTGATTCGTTCGACTGTCAGCGAAATAATCAGAGACCAAAATGGCTCCCTGATATGCAGCAAAGCAGAACGTTTGGACCGCTAGGCACAGTACCTCGAGCAGCAATTCAGCTGGCCACCTGCTACCTCCAATCCAGGATCCTGGTCTTCAACTCTAGGTCTTTTAATATAATTAGACAAACCTCATGGTTGTACGGCAGTGAAGTACCAGTATCAACACTGATGTTGCTGTCTTTGATAATGATTATGATGATCATCATCATGATGATCGACAGCATGACATCAGTGTTCAACATCGATGCTTCACTGCCGTAGATTATGATGATGGTTCTCACTGAATGTGAAGGTCTTACGTAACAGACTGGCAGTAGCACAATCTAGTCCTTTAAGCGCTAATTTACAGGGTCGTCCCTTGAGAGGCGTACTTACCTCAGCCCACAAAATGAATGGTCCCGTTCCATAAAACCGTATGGAAAACTGTAAAGCCAGCAAGTGTTGTTGCGTAGAATAAAAATGATGCGGCAGTATATTCGACAAAAGCTCATGGATATTGAGGCTTTATCTACGGGTCAAAAAGTGGTAGACCAGACCCAGTGAGGCGCGACGAATTCATGGCTAAAGATGTGGTGTCTGAAAGAGGACGACATGAGAGGTGAATTCGTTTTGACTGTTGAGGACGAAGGATCTTGAATGACTGCGCGACTGAATGCAGACGGTCATGGTACGTTCCTTTGAAAGCTGGGAACGGAGCATGGTTACCATGCTACTCGAACGGAATAGTCCATTCCGGGGAGAAAGCACAATTAAATTACTTTTATCCAATCGTATAAAAATATACTGTCTATTAGATAACTGTATAAGCATTCTAGCTATTGAAAACTGGTTTCTTCCTCTTACATGATATACCGAGATATCGGGCTTCTGGCTTCGTTCACAGTATGAAAGCGAGGAGGGTAGTTGAACACAACTCACCTTTAGTGTACGATGACAATGCCGAATAACCAATAAGCACTGTGTACGCAGGGATCTGTTCCACTGGCAGTCCTCATCACCGGCGTCTTCCGCGCAGGAACTATCAAACTGCGGCAGGGTCATCGTTTCTGGGATCAACCCGATCTGTCCCGAATAGAAAGTCCATTCTGTAGTATCTTCAACGCGTTCCAATTCGGTCGACGAACCCAGACGGGTAAAAGACAACGCTTGGCTGTAAGGTCCAATATTAGCAGGGGCCCAGTGCGATAACGAACGGACATGAAGGCCACGACACAAGCCTGTGAGTGCTGCTGGTTGGTTCGAAGGCGAAGGGTGTACAACAGCCGTCAAGCTCACGGCCACAGAGGTCTGAAAGGAGATAAGGAGTTTGGAAATTAATAGATTGAAAAGACCGTTTCGGCAAAAAAGGAGCCGTATCAACTGTCTACCCAGGTTAGACAATATTTGGATGAAGTTTCATTTACTCCACGGGCCAACTCAGACCTAGTTCGGCGCAACCAGAAAGAGGGAATTCAAAGGGCACTCGATCCAAGTACCAGATGAAGACTGGGCGAAATCTGCCAATAGTCCATTACAGGTTTTACCTTGTTTGGGATCCGTTCGATATAAGAATTTATGGGTATATTTGATGAACTTCAATTTTCGATTAACAGGAGATGACTTACTGATTGGTTCCACGTCTGCCTTATAACCTGGCCAATTTGGTGGCCTGCTCACTTGGCTTGATGAGGCTCTTGTGTCAAAAGCGAAACGTCGCCCAAATAAAAACTACCGAGTGTTTATCAAGCTCTTCTGAAACGATGAGATGAGAAGATTCATCAAACGAATCGAAGTCGCAGGGGCGAATAGCATAGACATCGGCCATTCATAATATGCATTGTTTGATACCTACGAATTTTTAGTGAAGTAGTTCATATATAAACCGAAAAGTCGGTTCCGATTGGATGGCGATTTACGACAACTGTGTGCCCAAGAAAGTCACTGACGTTTATTCCTCTCTTTCAATCGCCATACTGGTACGTGTTCTCTAACAATCTGCCGGTTAACTCATCATCTGACTAACACATTCAGCTGAAGATGGACAATTCGTCTCAAGTTTATTGTTAGCCTGGCCCGACAGTGGTAAGCTAGGTTGGCTCATACTTAGCATGCTGTCATTACACAAGGTCTGAGAACGAAAGGTCGAAAAATAGTTGTTCTACCTGAAACCCTTGTTGTCACTTATTTTGAATTCGGTTGTGAAAAGCCAACTAACTTCATTCTTTGATTTTACCCTCAGTGCAATTTACACACTGTGCTTCTCTAATGAAGAAATTCACATTTTGAAAGGGTCTACTTAGGAACGACCGTAGTCCAATTGTCTTCGGTATAGTCCTTGGAAGAAAAGGTTTGTCATGTAAGGTTTTGTTTATCACGTCTCCTGCACACGAAGACATCAACCATTTGAAAGCTATCCTTGACACTACTAATGGACTGTAGGTGCTGCATTACTGCTAGTGGCGCCGGTAGCAATCCCAGAAATTTAGAAGATACAGGAAATGCAATCGGGAGATACAAGTGTAGACGGGGGGAACATTTGAGACAATCTAAAGAGTGAAGACCCTAGATGAGTAACAGACTGTATCCGGTCTCGAAAGGGTCATGCTTGTGCATTTTATATGAACTGCTACATGTACGTGCACTTAGAATGATAGTGAAGTTTTATTCAGTTCTGTCCTTTTAGCTCTAATCAAGGTTGTTTAAAACAGTGCTCAGTTATCCATAGGAGTAGAGAGGAAATACTCACAGAATTCTCGAAGCACTGGCCTCCAGGTCCCAACAAACGGTTCACACTGACACACGCTCGGGTTGGCGGGAAAATGCGAGGATAGGAACGTGGTTCCCCACCGTCTCGCGTGGCCGTCTCCCAGGGCAAACCAAATTCATCGACATATGCCTCGTTAAATGCGGTAAAGACTTCGGAGCTCAATGACTGATTTAATACCGCCAAGTTGTGAATGATACAGTCCGTCTGGAGATTGGCGTGACCTAAGAATAAACAAGAGGGGAAACATACCGTACACTCTATTGCATCTCCTAGACAGTAGTAAACTGTGCATAGAGCTGAAAAAAGATTATTTTCTCAAACTAGATTGCAAACGAACCCATGGTGTCAATAATGCTTTCGAGCTCTTAACTTGCGTTAAATTTTAAGTGGACAAAATTTTCGGTCGGTGACCCTGACCCGTAAACAGTGACCACCTTAAGGATCTAAAGTTTATGCCCATTGGAAACACCTGACGATCGATTTGCACGTCAGAATCGCTGCGGAATGGGAACATTGCAGTGAAGAGAAATGACCTCATTGAAATGTTTTGACAATAGACATAAACCAGTGAAGTCTCTAGGCCTTTCACGGACGCTTCATCTGTTCACGGTGCCTCTGCTAGTGAAAAAAAAGAATCAAAGAAGTTATGAAGAGGTGGCTAAAAATAAAGCTTGCGTCTGCGTTGAAGTCAAAACGGTCCGCACTGCAAGTAGTCCAGTACTTACTGTCTACAAATGACCTTCTTTTGACATTACTGATTGAATAGTGGTGCCATTCTTCCGTAAGACGACCGAAACCATTCACACTTGGATGAGAGTAAGCGAATCCAGTGCTTTTTTCACAACAGAAGCCTTGGTTACCCTGTTTTTCCGATAGCCCAGCCGACAAAAAAGTAGTTTATGTAAATTAGAAGGTATACACCGAAAAGTTCAGACAAACGGCGAGAACGAAAGAATAAACACCTAGAAATGGTACCACAGACCTCCAACTTGCCGAATATAGAGGGGAACAACTCTGATCGGTTAGGAGGATTTTAGCTTCATTCAAACGCATCTCAATCCATTATGCAAACGATTACGATGTATTCAAACATCATCATCATCATCAATGACAGCAACATCAGTGTTGGCACTGATGCTTTACTGCCGTACAACCATAAAGTTCGTTTAGTTATATATATATATATATATA